ATTTTAACCTTCATATGTGATCCACATATCTGTCAAGCTAACTAATTATGTTTAATGCATGAGTTGGCATAATTTGTGCTCGTGACGGAGCGTTCTCGGAGCGAGTGAAAACCTCAACGCTCCGACTTTCAAAAAATCCGCTCCTAGCTCCGCTCACATACTCTGGTGTATATATATAAATACCTGCTTCAATCCCCTTCCCTCTCCCTCTTTCCCTAATAATTTCTTCCAAAAGCCCTTATTTAGAAAGACTAAATAGCTAGAACCTCTAATAATGTTTTTAATGTTATTCATGAAAGTATTGCCAAATTGTTTCAATGTAATAGTGTATAAAATAATCTAATACTAAAAATCATCATTTCTCTCTCCAGGCTCTGATCCACCTGCTGACCAGACGGTGGTGATTCAGAAGTTCAGATATCTGTCACAAAAACTCTTCGTCTCGGTGTCTGTTTTCGCTGGCTTGGGCATTTTAATGGGGATCGTTTGCCTCACCTTTAACATCTACAACAGCAACGTCAGGTATGTTTAGTTTGTGGATGAAAGTATACGCTCCTGCCTGCAGGCATGTGTTCATTTATATTGCGTACTCGTGTGTGAGTTCAGTGCAGAGGACAGAGTGATACATGCATACAATTAGCTGGTGTTTCCAAGGGTCTCATTCACATATTTATGCATTCTGTGTGTGTAGAAACACGCGGGTTTCAAACAGGCTAATGCATTACGAATAGCGATAGCATTTTACACATATTCAAACTCCACCGACACATTCAGACTAATGTTTGGTGTTTCAGTCTTTTTATCTTAGTGACACTTAGACTTTCAACAAGATTTTCTCAGCAGACAGCTTAAGCTAATACCCTGAACACTTACTAATCTCATCATGCATGTGAGTAAATGTGTGAGCACGTCTATGAATCTTTGTGTGATAAAAAGACAGAGGAGTGTAAGTCCTATTCCACTGTGAGAGATTAACTAAATGAGCTGAATCAGAGTTCACTATGCTAACAAAAATGACCAAAAAGTACCATGGAACACCATATTATATAAAATATGCATGTGGTAATCATTCTAAGCTATATATATCACAGTATATGGCAGGCACTACATTAGCATCTGTTCAATGTATGAACCTGTTTTTTGAAAATACACGTCTTTTTGCAAATTCAGCAGTATGTATGTCTATATGTAAAGGTACATTCAAAACTCCCAGCCGTACCTGAATAACATGACGGCAGTGGGCTGTATGATGGCTCTGGCTGCAGTTTTTCCTCTGGGAATTGACGGACTGCATGTACGCAACTCTCAGTTTCCTGTGGTCTGTCAGGTAAGTGCTCAGGCATTCTGGGTAACACCGTTTTGTCATTTATATTGATGTTATTTATAGTACTAGTAATTGAGTTTATAAAACCTCCCTGAACACTCTTCTTCAGAAGGGCTTTAAGCAGACATATCAGGGAGTTTTTTTTTTTCCTTCATTTTATTTTATTTTTCCCTGAGGCGCACTGATAATGTTAGTCAAGGTTTCTTGCATCAAAAAATATGAATTATTGAGTTTTTCATGACCATTTTTCACCCTCTCTCAGACCCTTAACTATTAAACAGACTTGTTTCGCTGCCTTGCTTTCAGACATCTATATATATGCCCTCTTCGCTTACACTTACTCATAGGTCACAGGCTTGCCGTCAGGTTCAATTTAGTTTGCACCATCCCTTTTTTCTGTAACAGCATCTTAGCCAAGCCTGAAGAATAGAACAAGCTGTTTTTGCAGTTTAATTTTAATAAATGCACTTTTATTAAAGTTTTAGTTTTATTCAACTTTTCTCCTATTTTTACATTTAATTCACCTTTGGCGACACTTAAACTTAATCTTTAAAATAACTAAAACGAATTTAATAACACTGAATTTTTCATGTTGTACATTATAATGTTGTGACGTGGCAAAAACGGAATACAATAAAATTCGAATTTTAGAATTTTTAGGATTTTAATATTGGGCATTTATTGTTTATCTCCCATAACATTAGAATAATTATAAGCTGATCAATACTGGCAATAATTTTTATATTGGTGCATCCTTATTATATTTCCATACTTGCACTTTGAAGTCTTTTAAAGTTAAACACTGAAATATTGGCTTTTTTAAAATTGTTTTTCTAGTTCCGCTTGTGGCTGCTTGGACTTGGCTTCAGTTTGGCTTATGGAAGTATGTTCACAAAGATCTGGTGGGTTCACACGGTGTTCACAAAGAAGTATGAGAAGAAAGACAAGAGAAAGGTGAGTAGAGAACCAGGGTTATTATTGCTAACACAACTAAAATCTTAGTTGATTTCCATAACTAAAATTAACATGAACACGGAAAGAAAATAATTAAAAATATTACTAAAAACATATAATAGTGTCTAAGTGGTACTAAAATAAGACTGCGTGAGGTTAATTTGAGGTGTTTCAAGACAAACTATCTGTCCTTTTAAACCCTCATAGGGATTTACTCTTGACTTGTCGAGTCAAGGGCTTTCAGTACGCCGCTGGAATGATCAATATATCATAGTGGAATTATTGTTCTTTATAAAGTATGTATCTCGTTCCTCTCTCTGTTATCATCTTTAGATCTCCATCTCACTTCCACTGCCTCTCTGGCTTAGCCACCGTCTCTCTGTCTGATCTCATAGAGATGGGTCCCCCGTTGTCCTTGAGCATCCTTAAACAGCACATTTATCATACAGCACAGCTCGATGAGCCCTCCGTACAGCCCCATGTGCCAGCAGTCACTCCATCACCACAAACACACTGCAAAAGATCATTTACAGTCGTTATGTTTGATTTTTTTTGTAACACTTTACAATAAGGTCCCATTTGTTAATGTATTAGTTAACACCAGTTAACAATGAGCAAGATATTTTTGCAGCATTCATTAATCATGGGTTAGTAAATACATATACAATTGTTTATTGTTCATTTTAGCCCACAGTGCATTAAATTGATCAATAAATGTTGAAATGAACAATAACTAAGGGTTAATAAAAGCTATGCAAATATTTATCATTGTTAGTTCTTGTTAACTAATGTAGAGTATCTTGAACAAAGGTTATTTTTCTTAAATTTTTTATGATTCTGTATGAATCCATTACTAAATTGTGATGGATTTATGCTTAAAAAATGAAAAAAGTGTTATCTTAATTTGTTTTCTCAATTAAATGTATCTTATTTTAAGGATGTTTCAATATTTTACAGAAAGACTAAACAAAAATATTAAGAAAGTGATGTTTTGAAGTGCAGACCTCACATCACCAATCACACAAATGCACAGCAGCCATAATAACTAAAATAAGGAAAAGATAGAGATAAAGACGGAGGAGAAAGGTATTTTCAGGATAAGTACATAATGCCTATTATTGAGCATTCATGAACATCCATCTAGTGGTGGAGAGGAGCTTGTCATGAGCCCCTGTGGAGAGCGCTCTCTCTCTCTCTCTTTCTCTTTCTCTCTCTTTCTCTTTCTCTCTCTCTTTCTATCTTCCTCTACACAAAGAAAGGATTCAGAGATTGAGAAATGATCTGTGATGTGCAGTGGGGCATCAGATTGACAGCTTAGTCATTTTCAAACGTGCTTCTTTGAATGGGGCGTCACTTTTGAGAATTTATGTTAAAAAGAAAAGTTAAAAAACAAACACCAACTGGGCATCAGTAAGTTTGTTTGAAGTGGATTCTTCAAAGTCATTGTCAGGGATACAAAAGGGAAATTTTGAAATAAAGAATAGTTTTGGAATTTATTATAGACCATAAGACAGAAAGAAATATTTGGGACAAACATTCTATTTTAAGTACAGAGGAACTCGTGATGGGGATTTTATGGTGTGAATTGTCATGAAAATCTCCCCTCAACACATTCAAAACAAGTTAAATACCTCAGATAATGTCTCATGAAATGCCAAAAAACAGAACAGAAAATAATTTAGACTTCTCTCAGTTTGTAAAAACATACTTAAGATGGAAGCCTATGGGGAAACTGTCTGTTGTGAAAGTATAGCCATGAGACTAACCAGTCTTTTTTTTTTTTCTTTTAAGAAATTAATACTTTTATTTAGCATTAATACATTAAATTTATAAAAAATGACAGTAAAAACATTTAGTCTACATTGTTACAAAATATTTTTATGTCAAACAAATGGTGGTATTTTGAGCTTTCTAGCAAAGAATCAAAGAATCTTCTCTCTCAGAAATAAAGGTACAAAAGTTGTCATGGGGCGGTACCTTTTCAAAAGGTACACCTTATTGGTACTTTAAATGTACATATTAGTACCTAAAGTGTATATATTAGTACCTAAAAGGTACAAAAGTGTAAAAGGTACTGCCAAAGTGACAAGATTTTGCACCTTTTTTCTGAGAGTGTTGGGGGAAAAAAGTATGATGGTTTCCACAAAAACATTAAGCAGCACAACCATTTTCAACCATTTTGATAATAAGAAATGTTTTTGACAGCAAATCAGCCCTCAAACCTTTGAGTATAGTATACGTGTTAACAGACTAATGTAAATTATTACTAATCTTGTCTGTGCAAAATTATACTGAATATTTCGATTTCTGTTATTACTATGTTGCTAAAAATCCCCAAGCAGTAAAGCCTGTAACATTCATATAATATAAACACCAGAGAGGGTCTGTTTACCTAGAGAAAAACACGTCCACAAATTACAGCAATGCAAAACCAGAAGCTCACCCACCTAGAAAAGTAGTTCCACCACTTAAAGGATGATTGAAGCCCCTTTAGAGCTTAATCTAAGCACTTGAACAAAAATGCAAGCTTCACATTTTTGCTTGTAAACCCCCTAAATGTCAATTTCTAGTACGTTCCTGTTCATTTTTTCAAACAGAGACATGAGTCAAAGTTTTCTGGTAATCAATAGCAAGCCATATATAGAGCTTAACTTGTTTTGAACCCAGAAAATTCCTTGAGTCAATTGTCTGGCTATGCGTGAGTTCTTTCATCCTCACCGTTGTGAAGGTGTGTTTGAGGTTTATGAGCTCTCAAAAGTGACGATAAACAATACGAGTCACAGAGAACATAAATACGCTATTTAAATAAATGCTTTTTATGTTTAATTGCTAACAAACGCTATCCCCGCTACAAAAAAAGAACGAGTATTGATTTTGTTGCAGTGTTATGGTCTCAGCCGAAATCCATTAAAGACACTTTCTTTACTTAAACCATAAAGTGCGGCCACCGTGTGGCGGATTGAATTGGCATCCTGATAATGGGCCATTGTTTCCCCTTCAAGCTCTCTGCACTTATGCTCTATATGATGTCATGAATCACGGCGCAAGCTGTGTCTTTCACTGTCCTGGATGGAAAGTTGATTCACTGGTCTTTTTATATCCCAGCAGCACCTGGAGCCCTGGAAGCTCTATGCCACTGTGGGAGTCCTGCTGGTTATCGACATCCTGTCCCTTATGATTTGGCAGATCGTGGATCCCCTGCACATCACAGTGGAGGTATGGCAGCGCTCAGTTTTTGTGTTTTTTTGAACAAGGTACAGTTGGATTTATTATGTTTGGCCTCAAGGTGCATATAAGAAAATGTTGAATGAGCTGCTGTTCTGTTTCTCTTTCTGTCTGAGCAGAAGTTCACTAAAGAAGCACCTAAAGGGGATGTGGATGAGCTGATCGAGCCTCTGCTGCAGCACTGCAGTTCAGAGAAGATGAACACATGGCTTGGTAAGAACCTCTCTGGGTTTGACACTGTATTTGTTCACATTGCATCCAGTTCTGATTTGTTTTTTTGTCAAATGTAAATGCTTACACTCTTAAAAATAAAGGTTCCATATTGGCTTGATGTAGGGCTGAACGATTAATCGAAAAGAAATCGAAACCGAAATTCAGAACCTCTAACCAACTTATTTTTCCCATGTCGGTTATTTCGTTTTTTTACTCTATTAATACTTTCCCCTTAAAAACATACTACCGTGTGTGTACTCAGCGCTATACGGATGTGACCGTTGCACTCGCGTGTTTTGCAGCATCTCGCACGTGAGTGTATGTATACATATCTATGCGCTCATCAAAGTCCATTCTAGAACAGTGGACCAATCAGAAGACCCTGGAGGCGGGGCAAGCGTTGCAAGCTTTTGGTTACAATAGCAGGTTGGCATGATAACTTTTGTATTTGACGGCACCTTGGCGGAGTAGGCATTCTGCGGTGCGCTTTATTTTTTCAAACCATTCATGAGACTTTTAGTGTACTGTTTTTCAGTTCAAAAACCTGCTTTTTATTTACTAACCACTTGTAATCCAGTCTAACCCGGCACTATCTGTGCTGATTTAGGGCTGTGGCAGGCATATTTAAATTAAGTTGGTTTTGTAGAAAACAGGCGGTAAACAGAATTTTCTTTGAAAGAGATGTTTGTGTACATTTTCTAGCGATCATGCTGGGAGTGATTCATCAAACGATGATTAAATGATATGTTATAAGCGGTGTATATCCAGATGTGCAGTGTAGTCAAGCACCCTTAAGACATTTTAAAGAGCCGACTGAGCTGTCTGGAACACACTGGAGAAGCAATGCTGCATATTTCCAGTAATGTACGACAGATTCCCTTGTGAAAAAGAAGTGAGCTTAATTATTTGCAGTGTGCACTTGTAGTGTACTTTAAATACTTTGAGGCATTTTTAAGTAAATTTTTTTAATATATTTATATTTATAAATATATAAGTATATTTTAAGTTTTAAAAAAGCTGTACTTGCAGAAAATATAACAATGAAATAAAAACCCACTTAAGTGTACTTAGAGTACACTTTAATGAGAGTTTCTTAACATACTCTGCTTTTAAAAACCTAACATTTTAAATGTACTGAATTGCAAATTCATTACAAATGTATAAGTACAATTATATGAAAATGACACAGAAGTAGAGATGATATTTATAAGTATTAGTTTGCCATAAATGCTTGTCAGTACATTCAGCAGTACACTTTAACCACATTTCAAAGGCAATAGCAGTAATTTTGAAATAACATATAAAGATGACATACAAAGTCCTACTTAAGTGATTTTAAAATAAATGTTTTTATATAAATTTAATATAGACTTTAGTATAAATGTAAACCATAGTACATTTTCATTTAATTGCATGTAATTAACATGCAATTACAGATGTAGCCTTTAAGAATGCGTCTTTTTTCACACGGCAGCCTGCAATTCGCCACGCGTGATCACGGAGCTCCCTGCAGGAGCTTTTTCAGATTTCTTTAAAACATTGTTGTGCCTTGCAATGCTGCATATTTCCAGTAATGTACGACAGATTCCCTTGTGAAAAAGAAGTGAGCTTAATTATTTGCAGTGTGCACTTGTAGTGTACTTTAAATACTTTGAGGCATTTTTAAGTAAATTTTTTTAATATATTTATATTTATAAATATATAAGTATATTTTAAGTTTTAAAAAAGCTGTACTTGCAGAAAATATAACAATGAAATAAAAACCCACTTAAGTGTACTTAGAGTACACTTTAATGAGAGTTTCTTAACATACTCTGCTTTTAAAAACCTAACATTTTAAATGTACTGAATTGCAAATTCATTACAAATGTATAAGTACAATTATATGAAAATGACACAGAAGTAGAGATGATATTTATAAGTATTAGTTTGCCATAAATGCTTGTCAGTACATTCAGCAGTACACTTTAACCACATTTCAAAGGCAATAGCAGTAATTTTGAAATAACATATAAAGATGACATACAAAGTCCTACTTAAGTGATTTTAAAATAAATGTTTTTATATAAATTTAATATAGACTTTAGTATAAATGTAAACCATAGTACATTTTCATTTAATTGCATGTAATTAACATGCAATTACAGATGTAGCCTTTAAGAATGCGTCTTTTTTCACACGGCAGCCTGCAATTCGCCACGCGTGATCACGGAGCTCCCTGCAGGAGCTTTTTCAGATTTCTTTAAAACATTGTTGTGCCTTACACAATATCCACCAGGTGGCGCAAGGAACAACATTCTGTAGTTAAACACCACAGCCAGCTCTGGGGTGCATTTCCCAAAAGCATCGTTAGCCAACTATGGTCGCAAGTTCCGTCGTTACCAACATAGTTCAATGATTCTGTGTTTCCCGAAACCATAGTTCAAAGGAACATTCGCAAACAGTGACGTAAACTACAGCTCTCGACCTGTTGTTAGAAGCATAGTTTCTTGTTAGTAAGACATGTGGGCTTATATAAATTATGCTGTTGGGCACAATAAGCAAGCTAACATGCAGTACAATCTATATCTTCCGTTCTATGTAAATATAAATGCATTTTAATCTATGTATTTTTGCGCGTCCTCAATAAGCGCCATTTTAGAAGAGTGCGCATGTGCATAAATAAATACCTAAGGGAACCCCAGAGTTTTTCATCTATTATTTTGCTCGCATATCTCCAACAAAATATTTGTAGACCTACTGTACCATAATGTCTGCCTGCAGTTCAAAAGTTCTCAGAAATAATCACATTTGTTTTGCTTAACCTATTTATGTACAATTATTCTAAAAATAATTTTAATGTTATAAAAAAAAGTTATCAGCCTGAGTAAATTGTACCATTATAGAATTGTGACTGCACAAGTAGTGTAGTAATTTAGGAGGTGAAAATACTGTAAAATTACATATATACAAATGGCAAGAAATTTGAAAGCATAACAACTGAACGTCTATGAAACTTCAGTCAATAATATTTTTTTTTAAACAATGGCACTTAAATTTGAAGTAAAATAGGCTATTATTGCAACCATATAGCCTATGAATGAATGAAAATGCATATTTTTCAATTAAAGAAAACTTAGAGAGTAGGGATGCACCAGTATCGGTATTGGGCCCGATACTGCGCTCCTGTACTCGTACTCGTACTCGTAAAAATGCCCGATACCAAAAGCCGATACCACACAGCTTGTGATGCTCTTGGGCACAATAAGCAAGCTAACATGCAGTACAATCTATATCTTCCATTCTATGTAAATATAAATGCATTTTAATCTATGTATTTTTGCGCGTCCTCAATAAGCGCCATTTTAGAAGAGTGCGCATGTGCATAAATAAATACCTAAGGGAACCCCAGAGTTTTTCATCTATTATTTTGCTCGCATATCTCCAACAAAATATTTGTAGACCTACTGTACCATAATGTCTGCCTGCAGTTCAAAAGTTCTCAGAAATAATCACATTTGTTTTGCTTATCCTATTTATGTACAATTATTCTAAAAATAATTTT